TGTTTAAGAACCAATTGAAAAAAGAAATATTCTGCGAAAACATGTTATCTTAATGGAACTTAGATTAAATTTCATCTAACAATTGGTGATCAAAAATAACTTTGGTTCTCGTTATGAAACACAATAGATATTAATGTATTAGCAACATGCTACGCCCCACTGCAGCAGGCCTTCCTTATGGATAGTTAAAGAGGATGAGCCTTGATCCTACACGCGGGCCCAATGCGGGTTGGTGGGTATTAAAGACTGCAGATGTAGCCGAAACCAATGTCTTAACGTGCTTTCTGAAGCTTGAGATAAGAATTTTTTGGTCACCCATCCCGAGACCGACCCTTGCAAAAGTTGCTTAACAACAACGATCGCAGTCCACGGTGTCTATCCGTTACGCCACCAAGCTACTCAATGTATATGTTACTGTTAAAGCCTGTGTATTGGTCAATTTCAGATTTACTAGTCAATCTTGGGATTTACCGACATGAGTTTGTAAATGTAAGAAATATCTGAAAAAGAATGGATTTAAACGACTAAATTTTATTAATTTAGTCGAGTTGGAGACCCTTTGGATGTGATACAATATACAGAATATTTTTTATTAGTTTCACTGTCGGTAAGTTTATATGTCCAATGAGTTCTGTTGCATTTTGCATAATTAAAATAATTTAAGCATTAAGTTGATATATTTGTCTGTTATCACATTGATTAAATGGAGTATGATGCATATCGGCGCTTCCTCTTCTTTTTATTGTGTTAAATTATTATAAAGAATTATTTACTTTAATTAAGTATTATATAACAGTATCGTACACTTAGTAAATATAAACACAACAGGACCGCACGCGACAACAATGTACCAGACAGAATTTAATTTCACGGCCATTCACAAGCCCGTCGCCGCTGCATTTGCATAGTGCGCTTCAGACGCCACAATATCTCATCTAGCAGACGCCCTGCCCCGCCCGGTCCTGGCACAACCACAGATGCAGTTACTTCTTGATGTATGCAGACGACAATCTCGTTTGTTGTGTTAGATTTACTATAACTTGCAAGCGAGTGGCTATTGAGCTCGTGTTAGGTCGTAATAAACAATAATTTATATACAGTTTCAATTCCTGCCTGCGACTTCGCTCTCTCTCTTGCTCTCGTTGACTATCAGCCGGTTTCTGAATTGAGATTAGTACAAAAACTCAACTTATTATCCTCAATAACTAACGTTTTTTTTTTATATTTGTCATGGCAACAGTCTTAGTTTTATCAAACTGTTTATGTATAAGGGACGTTTAAGAATATTTAATTATGGTTTGAGATATGCTTGACTTTAAATTCTCAATTTCGAATCCGGGTGTGTATGATTTTGAAACCTCAATTTTACCGCCCTTGGGATATTATTTTTCTAAATACAATATCGGGGACATAGCACCAATTCTGTTATCATGGTAATAATTCTTATTCTAATGTTTATTGATCGTGGAAGTTAAGCAACATAAAATGATAAGAAATAACAAGATCAACATTTAGTTAATTACGATGAACTACTTTTATTCTTATCAATTGACAACAACAACCGACAATCTATCTCCGAAAAATCTGGTTGACTGGCCTTAGGTGTCACAGACGAGATTAGAAGAATTTTGAAGCGAGCTTTTGTCAATACTTATTTTAAGCCGCCGAAGAAGATCAACCAATTCTTAAGACCTGAGTTTCATATCCCCTTTCAAGTTGCAGGTGAATACTAACTAGAATGCGACTGTGGGCTCTCCTATATCAGGCAGACAAAGTGGAGCATTGGAACTCGCTTTAGGGAACATGTAGCTGACGTTGAGCATAGGTGCGAAAATAAATCTGCAGTGTGGAACATGCGTTAGGAGGATTCAAGCATTACATAAGATTTGACAACCCAAAAATACTTGCGGCTGAATAAAAATTCATCCCTAAAATGATACGTAAGACTATTGAAATTAAAAAGCATCCCAATTTTAATAGAGATGAAGGTTGGCATATACCACCGGCTTGGGATCCAGTAATTAGTCAAATATAATATTAATCCAGATCACACATTGTAGAACCGAAAGATATGGTTAGTTCATTCTGTAATTATTAAATTAAAGGCAGCAATTCACTTTTCTTGTCGGAGTTTGTTTCGCCAGTTCTACTCAGATAAGACTCTCAAAGTTGGAACTGGTGGTAGATTCCGGTAGATAGGGGTAAATAAATAAGTAAAATTTATTTTTAAAATAATTTAATTTAATTTAATAAATGTCGAAGACGCTATTTTTTTTGTATTTTAAATGTGTTCAATAGTATTGGTTTTAGAAGGTAGCTATACTATTAATTAAAAAGACAATCAACACCTTAGTTATATGTGAATACGGAAACTGCAAAAGGTCAGAAACGTCTTAAACTTAATGCAAACGCGATGACACAATTTCAAAGTTGTTTCATTTAAGATATTTAAGCTTTATGTGCGTTTTAATTTTGTGACTTGGTTGCAATCTCACTTAACGTCAATGCCGTATCCGAATCTACCATAATCCTTTATATAACTACCAAACTAGATTCACGTTTTGATTCACGCTTAGTACACTATATTAATAGAGAATAAATAATATGTACCTATAAAATATTAGCGTAGATTCTGACCTGGCGCGATCTGCATTTTCTATTTCATTTGTATTCGTAGTAATATTTATAAGGGACTAAGTTTTTATAAAAGCATCTGGTTTTCCATTTGCTTCGAAAATCGGAACACTAGCAGCTTTGCAGGCTTTGTTCGGTGTATTTGAACAGAATGAGGTTGAATTATTTAAATTTCATTACGAGGCAAACTGTAACTACAATGATTGTTGCGATGCATCCACATGAACCAAATTATTTACATCATGGAAACAGGCACGATTTTATTTTAACTAACAAAGCTCCAAGAAGCAGCTGAACATACACTTCACTAACAATACTGCAAAAATCCTTTTACAAAGTGCAGATAAAACCTAGCGATATAATGACTTAACATTGTAAGGTGCAGTTTAAAATTCGACATAGAATAACTAAGGATTTTTTTTACGTAGTAATTTCAAGTTTTACGAATATAGCAGGCATTATTACCTGTCTTAAGTATCAGATCCTTTCCTATTCATTTTATGGTAAATTCATTTGAAAGTATCGCCTTCGAGTTAGCTATGGACGATCCCAGGCACAGGTATTAGATCAGATCACTACTGCAGTGACAGGTGTTACGAAAGACTGCAATTAATGAAGAATCTTCAGAGGATAAGAACATGATGATATTCTTAATGAAAAATACTTAAAAATCCACTTTGTCTCTGGTATTTTGAGATGGGTACAGTATAATCCACTTAGTCTCATCTCAGAGTATCAAAGACAAAGTGGTTTTTTAAGCGTTTTTCATTAAGAATATTTTCCAGTATAGCATTGTGAATGCAAAATCTATCGACTGTCTGACTGTCTGTCGAAAAAATAAACAATAGTGTTGAATACTAATTTTTTTAATATATATAATTGCTAGCATCGGTCATATGCGATACCGTCAACAGGAGATCGCTAAATAGTACAGTCTACACAAGTATTTCTCTTAAGGTGCCTATTTTGATACTTTCTTTATTCTGTTCCACTGTAGCCGTTAATAACCACAGCCGCTCCATAATGTATTCTAAGGTTCCCAACAATAGCGAGTTCTCTTTGACAAATGACCTGACTCGAACGTTACTGGCTAGATGCACAGTTTCCCGTTCACAGTAAATTAATGCATCCGTTTGAGAACAGCTGGAATTTAACGAGCATTTTTCCGCTTTATCGTCGAACCTTATCATTCCGTTCACTGGTTCACTTCCGAGTGTACTTTTTTTTATTTGTGGCAATTTTATGTTAGTCCTAGACCAAGGAAGAAAAATAGATGCTTATTATTGTTACATACCTACGTATATTTACATATAGTTCGTATTGGGGTATACTCACTTTTAACGTGACCTTTATTTACTTCGCTTATGATTCGGTCTGCAATAAAAATATTTAATTTCAGTCTAGGATAATAATGTAGTATGAAGTACGAATATATTACTTTGTTTTAATTAATGGCGGTTTATTTCAATAATATTTTTTTCGTATTTTATGTAGGAGTAAAATAAAATTATAAACAATATCAATAGTGCTACGGTTTCTGGTGATTTAAATTTATTTAGAATGGTGAATATATTTGACGCACAGACTCATTCAAATGAAGATCCACCTCGGGGTCACCAGCAGCAGTTCTAGGCTCTCTGATTGATGATCCTCCCCCTACCCGCCACCCTCCCGGGTTCACTATTCACGGTCCATTCATAAATTAACTGCTCTCATTTGAGCCGTCGACAATAAAACGCCCGGGAGGAATATTCAACGGCCATTGTTCTACCTCAATGCAGGCACAGACCGATTCGTTACGTGGCCTCCATTTCGAGTTGTTTCTGTGGATCCTTCGACTCTCCATCCCAATTTTTCAACCGAAAGTTCTATTACCGCTCCAGTGTGAACTGTTAATGGCATTATCAAACTTCACCTCCCCGACGCGGTGCTATCTTATTTCAGTTATTTATAAAAATCTTAAGGGTGCAATTTATCTCAAAAAACTTCTTGCGAAAAAATGAAAGAAATAGAAGATAAAAAACGTAGCAGGAGGCGCCGTGCCCTGAAAATATTTCCCCCAAAAAATATGGAACAATAAAGATCAGTATAATTTCGTCGGCGGGAACTCGGCGGAATAGTTAATACGGAAGTTCCGGGGACGAGCATTAAAACTTTTCCGGGAAACATTGGGCGCGATCAGCCGCGCGCGATCCGACCGCGCCCGCCACAAACTCTGCTAATTTCATGAGTTATTGCTTTAAAAAGCATTATTATTTCACAGAAAAAGTTCCAATGAGAAAATTTATATGAGGCGAATAAATATTATTCACTTTTCTCGAAATAATATTATAATAAATGATAGAATAATAAAACGGCTAATTCAGAAAAAAAGTGGTTTTTATTAAAAAACCTCGTATTGATGACGATGCAATCGCCCGAGTTGACAGATATTCACGTCGACACTGGTATGTACATTCAAATAGTAAAGATCTAAAACAGTTGCCGTGCTATTTACAATGTCTCATACATTACTATACATTCATCTTAATAATTGCAAACCTGTATAACGAATTATATTTAATATGATTTTAGAAGTAACTAAACGATAACAATATTATTGGTAATAATAATAAAAATCTGAATAATATTTAACTAACACATTACTTCTACTAGTATGCAAGTTATATAGAACAGAAAATTTCTCTAATAATAAAGTTATATACTGTCAAGATGAACAAACGATATTTTAATACTTTCAAACGTAACGAAGAAACAACAAGAAATATTACGGAAATCGGTTAATTGGTCGGCAGGTAGGCTGCACCTTTACACTGAAAAAAGTATATCAAATGTAGAATAAAGCGTCTTTTATCAGCTTTTCCAATTGTCCAATTTCAAAGGGCAATCGCCACTGTGGTAATATTCGTACATAAATCAAAATTTCAAGACTTGGATCGAAAAATGTAAGTCTTAAACTTGATATTTCCATGGAAACCGAACAAGATACGTCTAAATATATTCCAATATTCATAGATGCGACCGCTTCCAATTCGTTTACATACAATACGTATACACTTACTTATTATATCACTCCATTGTCCCCTAACGCGTCACTCATTTTTATCTTTATGATGGCCAAAGTTTTTATTTATAACTTCGAAATGTTCCACGATTCACACTCAAACTTTACTATCAACGTTCATTTCAAAAATCCTCTAGACTGATATCTCCTGGATTTGGACTCGCTTCTTTGCTGGCGGCGGGACGTTGTTCGGTCTCTCCTTTAGTTCTAACTCGCTGCTGCGCTGTGGAAACCGATAAATAAGTTAATTACCAGCTCCGCATTCGTTTGCCTCGTTGGTTAGTCATTAGTGTGACACGATCACTGCGATCGTTAACGTGGTAATGATGCTTTGGAATTTCACATTGATTTGACCGCGTTTGCCTAACAGATTATAATTTAACATCGTTCACTTCTACTATTAATTTTTAATATGATTCCAAATGAACTATCGTACGTTTGACAACGTGATGATTAATGTTCTTTTATGAATTTGAATTATTTATTTACTAAACACATGTAGATGTAAAATATTCAATAGAAACATCAGCAATTTAGGGAATTCGTTGATTTGAAAGATATTATTACCTTTAATGTGCTCTTTCGAGGAGATAACGCTAGCGTAGGGTCGCTAGACAATGAACCGGTGCCTGCGCGGCTATTGCAGCTGCCTAAACCAACATAAACGTACGTTTACTAAAATATTAAAGTTTTTCCCTTTGATACTAAATTTTATCTTAACAAAAATATTATTGCCAAGTACACTGTTTGAAAGCATATTCGTATCTGATGTTTCATAATTACCTACCATCTCTCCGAGGTCTCCTGTGCGAGGTGCGCCGTCTCCCTTTTTGCAGATAAATTCCAGCAAATACTAGCACATTTAGTGCCAGTAAGAAGCACCCGGCTCCGACCGTTACTCCTAATGCTACCGTATAACTGTTGCAAAAGGAACAATTACATACAAAGAAATGTTATGGGAGGAGCTCGATAGAAATATACTGCTAGGTAATTTTCCTTATTTTCCAAAATTCATTATCTTTAGTTTCTCTATGCTTTATAAGGCACAAGTCCTGGTCGTAACTGCAGTCTTTAACACTCACCAATTTTCATTGGGCCCATGAGTTTCATTTCGATTCCATTCATGCAAACTTGTGTTCGAAAAGTAATAGGCTGGTGAAGATGAATTATTTGTCTATGGAAGAATACAGAACTTTAAAAATAACATATCCATAACAGCAGAATGTAGAAGTCAATAAACAGAAAAGTTGTTTCAAAGTAAAACGTTCCCCCTTTATTTGCGCGGTAAGTCAAAGTCCAGTTGATTCAGTGCGAAGTTTGGCGGCATCTATTACCATTATCAGTCGGATCCAGTCGCTTCACGGGAAAAAAACGTTTGTCGCTGAGAAATGGAGGGACATTAAGACATTATTTGCGAGACAAAAAGAAACAAGATTCGGTGAGGTAAGTGACTAGGTAAACACATTAGTGGAATTGCATGTTCCCGCGCGACGTAGATCAATCTTGTTTACGCAGCCGTGGGACCGATGTGTGGGTTTCTACAGTTATAACTTGATATCATTTCGTTTGTCGGCAGGAGTAATGAAATATAAACAATCTATCCGGTGTTGTTTTAACGAAATTCGCAGTAGATTTATTCGAAAAGCCAGCTTTCGATCGTAATAGATCGCACGCACGAAATTAATAAACAACACGTCGATTTCAAATCGCTCGGATGTTCGGCTTGTGCATATCATCCCCGTGAGCGGACATACAACAGTAGATATAAATACGTAGTGCTCGGGTTTGCGAAGCTTACGTTTATTGAGGAAAAACGTAGGCATCTAATTATGATGCGGGGAATTTCCTCGTGATATTACCTGTAATATTGCGAGTCCAGGTTAGTGAGGGAGTCTTCCTTAGGAGTGGGATGTGGCGCGGGCAGGGCGGAGAGTGCGGGGCGCGGGGAGGGCGACGGCTCGCACTCCTCCACCTCGGATGCCTCCTCTTCAGGGTCAGGCGGCTCATCCTCGTCATCGAACGAAGCGGTCGTCGTATACAATTCGGGAAAAATTTCCCCTAATGACAAAGAATTTTAAACGACTAAGACATAGATGGTTAATTTCACATTTAAAGTATATTTCGACCGTAATTCCTCTATTGTCTATTAATTTTGCTACATCACAGATTAATGCAATAATATAGAATTGCATTGTAATAATAACTTTTAAACTTTAGTATTATACTTAAATCACGTGCGAGAAATTAATTATAATTTTCTATTAAGGCAGTAGTAATATTCATGTCTAATATACACACAATAACGGTTCTTGTGAACAATTATTGGAAGCATATAATATATATTATTACATCACTGTGAGACTTACCATCTTCAAAGGCGTCGATTATGTTACATACAACGTATTCAATTAAATTACAACATGGAAATTATCCAAATAGTTTTATTACTTAATAGTTGATTATTTGTGGATATAACGTTCCATTTAACGTTTCAATGGCGTTTAATAGTTTGTCGAATAAATAGTTAACGATGAGTTTATATTAATTATTATCGTCAAGTTAGAGTTTTTATTTCGATGACTAATTAAGACAAATGTAAAAATAATAATGTTTGAATAAGGAACTTAAATAAGTAATTCATTAGCCAAATTATACGTAGGGTGACCAAGAAATTCTCTTAAGACGAAGTTATACGATACATTGTAGCCCAATTTTATCCTAAGGCTGTACTAATATTTGCTAAATAAAACTATTTGATGAAAACTAAACATGACTGCCTGCTATAACAGAAACATAAATTGCAATAATAAGCTCAATAGTAAAAGAATCCATAGATGATTCTTAATAGATTTTTGGATCGATTATACAGCTAGTATACTTAAAAAAAAAAACTACAATATTATAGGAATAAAAAAACGAAACGGCAAACGGCATTACGCTGAAAATAAAGTACTGATTTTCAAAGAGCTAATGCAGTTTCACATTTATGTTAACATAATAATAATTTCCTAACACACATATACATATTTGGTTGTATGAAGGAATATGTACTTTTATCGACAAGAATATGGCAGATTAAAAAACCTATTCATAAATTACATTGAAAAAATAAAATACTTTAGAAAAGACAACATATCAAATAATGACATCACACCAAATAAGTAGAACCAGATTAAAACAATATTGTTTGGCTAAACTGAATTAGGTACCAGAGTGTCGATTGTTTGCTCTAAACACCATAACTTTCGTGTGAGGGTCTCTCGAACATATTCGTTGGAACTTTATCAATGCGAACCGACATGCAAATATAACGGCGGCCGTTTCCAACTTGTAGCAGATATCCCGTAATTGGGCCGATAGGAGGCGCCTATAAAAGCCACATGAAACACGTTTAGATACGACAGAGTTCAAAAGATGCACCGATAACATGTTTATTTTCAAAGTTTTGTTTTTGAATTTAAGAGCAAGCTTTAATTGTGATTTGTTTAACGATTATTCATAACAATAAAAAATAACTACCTACAGGAAGTGACAGTTGGGAATAACGGTTCATTATATTGCACTAACAACTGTTATTAAGATCTCACTCGTTGCATTTTATGTCGCTAACGCCTGCAAACGCGATTATTAGACTAAGGCGTCGCCACACGCGTGTGTGGCGTAACGGTCTTTCTCGTTTGCCATCATTGTAATCTATATGAATTAAGAATTCATTATAACAATTTTCAGTCTCAAATTCAGTCTTTGAAAATAATTTTATAATATAAAATTTTTGGGTAACGTGTTTATTATTTAAAGTTATTACACTACGCACTGACTGAATTTTGTTAATATTTGTTTTTTTTTTAATGTGGTGGGGTTGTAGTAGGGATGCTGCCTTCCCTCGTCGCTTCTGTGCTTGTGTTTCACTATTTTACAATCCTGATGCCATTTCCAAACTTGCTTAATTGTGTTTATAATATTATTTTCTCAGAAAATTATTCAAATGTTTTAATTGGTCTTACAAACGTTTATTGAGCAGAGGCATAATTATTTTGGCATCGGTATCACTGAATTCATGAGCTGATCAATCACAATTGCCTTTACCTGCAGTGGCCGCATATGAGAATCAAGTGCCATATACTTTTGCTTTGTTTCGTTTAACCTTACATATCTGAACTAAAGCTCCCTACCAAACTTATCGTTATCTATTTTCAGTTTCTTCTGTAACTATAGTAGTGTTAATGAACGGGCGTTGATGTATACAAACAGCGCGTGCCTACATTTGTGTGTTCAGATTGTGTACAAAGGACTGATACAATTGCGGCCCGCTCATTGTTGCCCAAATGGAACACGAATAATGGACGCCCACGGCACGGTACGAGCTTGCGGGATTCAGTTAGTCGGTCCACTTTTTTTCATAAAAAGTTATTTTTTTGGCGTGGTCTAACTCCATGTTTCTATTCTGTATAAAGCTGTCGCGAGATAAACCAAATCTCTAGACAGTTGAAATACATTTGTTGTATGTAAATGAAACAAGAGAACAAAGAATTAAACATGGCTGCAGATTAAATCGTCGGGTGTGTAGAGATTGCACTCTCAATGTAATGTGCGTACTATTTTTTCTCATTGTGACGATAAAAAACAATATTATATTTCAAAAAAGACTGAAAATTAGTGAAAGTTTCTAATCTCATCTCGGCCACCGGACACTGATTTATTAAAGTTTTGTTTCTGTATGACAAAATTCATTCAAATATCGTTATAGATTAGAATAAAAATATATCTACTTATTTACATTGTACATGAGTGATAAAGACATAAAGTTGACTTCAAACCATACATTACTTAAATTCTTTATTTTATTTGATCTTTTTTATTGCCGCTGGAATAAAGGCCCCTATCACGAGTCTGCTCTTTTGAGCAGTAGTTTAGAGGCAGCAACGTGGTATACTCAATTTGCATCTACATAGTTAGTGAATATGCAAAACCTTACACATGCGTTCGTTGCAACTGATTAGCTCGCACTGATCGTTCATCCATCACAAGTACCACGAAAGGAAAGCAAACCAGCAACGTTCAAATTGGCTCGAAACTTAACACGTATTCAAAGTCGATATCGTTTTTAATATTTTTATTAATTATTTATAAAAAATTTATTATTATGAGACGTTAAATTTTCCATTTTTTTCTTTTACCTTTATATATTTATACTAGTTTATCATTACTTATCTCGTTTTGTCACTTGGTTGGGAAAAAATATTATTATATTCAGTACCTTAAATAATATAAAAAAACTAATTGTCAAATTTATATTTTATTCTCTGACAACAGCAAAACAATGGACCCTGAGCTAAAAGAAATATTATGTATTTATCCGACACCAATAAGAGGTTCGTCTGGAGAAATAAATTCTTCTAGATGAATTGAAACGCTTCCAGGCGACCCCGGGTACAAAAAATTCTAGACTTTTAGACTCTGATAATTATAATTCGATTCATCCTGTCCTTTTCAAATGTATTTTTAAATAGTTCAACATTAAATATACAAACAAACGAAGTTCCAGAAAATACAATATTTGGATAATAGAACAGCGAGCTTAAATTCTCGAGTTGCTCTGAAATTGTATTACCACAATAAAAAGGTGAAGTGATAAAACAAATGAAAACTTATGCAAATGAGTAGTCGGGCTTCTTTGTTCCCGGAGTGCCGAGAAACTTTTCCCTGCAGGCAATATCTGAAGAACAATGGATATCAGTATCGGGACATTGTGGGCCATTACCGGCGGCGCCTCGACTGCCGAGCCTCGCCCCAGACCTCGCCCTGCATTCCCATTATCATGGAATTTGAGACGCCATCAAAGACAATTAATAGCAGCTCCTGGTCCTTTCGATACGGCCTTTTATATGATGTCATTAATCACTTTTTTAACGAACAATTAGTCTGCTGTATCATTATTTTATTATGTAAACGAAATTTGTTATGCAAATGACACTAAACATTATGAGGTGCCGTTGAGAAATCTTAAAAATGATAAATTACTATTTCACTCCGAAGAATGGTATTGTTTGAAAATAAGAGAGTAAGTCCCCGATCGTTATATAGGCGATCGAGAGGCCGTGATTCAATAAAGACTTTATCTGTATTCATGAAATCACATCGAAAGATAACTTGATCGTTTTAAGTTATCTGGCTAACGTCTCCCGAATCGTGAATCAGACAGTCCTTGAAAATGTTTGAGCTAACTTCTCGAAATTCATCGGCGGAACATCAGAGGCTCTGATGGAAATGAAGCACAAAGCGTTCTTCATTATCGTTTGATGTGGGGTGACAAACGGCGTATTTGAACGAACCAGATGGCCCTCAGTCGACAACGTTCCAACGCGGAAAGGATTCGAGCAATTAGCTTTATAGCTCCCACTTGAAGTGTCCACTGAAAGGTGTTCCTTCGTGGTGTTTTAATTTCTAATGGTCTTTTAGTTTTGCAGATTTAGAAATCTTATAAATTAGTTTTCTTTTTTGTAACTTTTAACGAAAACACTTAATTTATAATTAAAACATCAAGGAACAATTTATTTAAATGTAATTAACTTAGCCAATAATTTAGTAATATCTAAATAAATATAGCAAGATAGGTAATATCCAAATACTCAGTAAGTTTGAAAGCAAACACTAATGGTAGTTTTCCTCCTTCAGCCCGGAGGCTTCACAAAAAGGGGTGTGCGTAATTTAAATTTAATTGATATGGATAGTAAGAACACAAAGTGACCCTGCGCACGTCTCACGAATATGTTACCAGGGCCGTATCGGAACGGATATAATATACCTACTAATGAAGTATTAAGTCGTAATAAAATGGTATGGTACTTGTCGATGGAAATAATTAAATTATAGACTATTTAAATAATGGTATTTGCCGTATGTACACATGTACATCAGTACATCAGGCTATAACAATATGTCAAATTGTCCTAGATGATTATTAATTATACCGTGAATGCATCAAGGTTTAAAATCAAGTTTTGTTTAACCTAACGTGCTGTTGGCAGTCATCACTAAATAAATTTCAAAACACAATTAATAATTTATTGAACTTCAAGGCGTTTTAATTATGTTCTTCGATTAATATGGCTGTAAATTTCTAGCAAATTATTACTTCCAAAAAGTGGCTCACTTAATGGGTATATTCCCCCCCACCCAGATAGTGTTTCAGAGCATTCATTGGGAGTGGAAACGGTAATGAGGGTGTTCCGCGCGGGACGCTAATGGCCGCAAGCAACAAGCCGCGGTGGATCCGATCCGGATCCGCACATTACAGTGTTAGCTCCATTCCTGGAGCACACCGCTATCACAACGTACAATCGGCTTCAAAGGATTGCCTTATTTAAATACAAGGAGGTTTTATCTGCCATTAAAGTGTATTACAGACGTGATTTGTTCTTAGACGATTTAGTATCCTCTAATCTTCGTAGATCTGAAGAATCTGGTGCTGTGTTGCAAAGTACACAATTAAATAAATTCAACTCCTAAATTAAATATTTTAAATTTTGGTTTTCTTTCATAATTTCTGCTGCATACAATAATGTATGTTCTTATTTGCCTAATCTAGATATATTTTTCAACTCGCAGTTAAGTTTTAAAGCTCAGATTCGGGATTTTTTTAGTTCTATGGACTTGATTGGGTTGGGTAAAGGCCTGGGGTTGACGAGCCCTCTGAAGCCCTGTGATCTATGTTATAGGTATTTTGATTTGACTTTTCACTGAGAACCGGAGAGTGCCTTAGCCTTCTTGTTAGTGTTTTTATCAGTGGAGGAGTAAATTTTTTTGGTGTAGTCTATTAGGCAACGCGTACTTAAATAAATATAATAATAATAATAATAAATACACATATTTGTAAACAATGCTGTGTCAACCTATAATAGGGATGATGACTGGGTAAAAAAAAATGCAATTATATTTAGTCCGTCAGTCAGATAATAGAAAAATATTAGATACGATATTTTTTTACTTCAATTTAATAAGAAATATCTTAGATAACAGGCATTAAAGTTGAGGAGTGGGGGCTCGCTACGTCACAGTTGAGTAGAAAACGTACCATAACGTGACGTCATGCGAAATTTCAACTCCATGTAACGCCGTAATTTTATGATCACGAAAAAAATTAAAAAATACGTGTTTAATATTTTTTAACACAATCTGAAGGACAAACAAACAAAAATTAGTCATCATCCCTATTGGTATATATATATAAGATTCAAACCTAACTGTAATCTACTGAAGTAAGTTGAAATATGTATGCTGTTGGTTATCCATATGTAATAAATAATAAATAAAAAAATGATCTGTTCATCATCTGGTTAATTTGAATATCGATGTGTTTTGACATATGTTAGATGTAAAAGTAAATAGTGAATTTTGACAAATGGACGTCGCGTTATCATTATTTTAGTTTTGTAGCAATGGAAAGTGTCGATGTAAGCTATGACTCCGAATACAAACGCCACACGTCCAATAATCAATTCATTGCTCACTTCACAAGGTGAATCCTTAAGTTAGCGTCCGCACCAATTAAATTCAATTAACATACGAAAGTTATACAATTAATTACTTTCAATATAGATATATCAAGAGTATGAAAGAGTAGAAGTATTACATACCGACTGGTCAAAGAGTAAGGTCTATAAAATAGTGTTCAAGGAGTAAACCTTAATGGATATACTTAATAAGTGTATGTAATATGTTGGGAGAAGCCCACAGTTTAATTAACTTCAATCAACGTCCCTGATCATTACTTAAATACATCTTTAACATGAACGATTAAGTTGCAAGTAGTTAAGTACCTAATTATAATGATACATCATCATCCGATAGTCAAGTGATCGTTCCACTTACCCGCAAACATGTCCGGGTGAATCGACCGGAACTGATGATGTCTGGGCGCGGCGCCGGGCCTGTGCAGCTGCGGGATCAGGTGCAACCACAACGCCATCTTGTGGCCGCGGTAGTGACTTTTCACTCGAAGTTTTGTACCTGATATAAATGTTGATGTCAATTATAATATGTTTCAAGGCGTAAGCATAATATATAAAGACAACGTGATCGACGTTTGCTCTACCAAACATAAAATATGAAAATATCATATCACATTACCTTATCCATACTGTACAATTGAATCTGTTTAAGCGCACTCACTTTACTTGAACTGGTATCTTACTGAGTCCTTTGATTTTACTTATTCGATTATATAAGGGAAGATATATGCATCTGTGTGTGTGCCAGTACACATAATACAAAAGATCTCTCTTCTAAAATTTTGGTAATACGCTCTTATAATCACGTATGACTTAAATATACCTACCTAAAAGGAAAGTTAAGTATAAATAATTAAACGTTTATATCTATTACTCACTTATGCTCAGATATTGCTGTGTATTCAGCTCGTATCGCGGCCACGAGGAGGTGTCGTGGTGGTCCGTCCTCAGCGACGGGTCGCCGCTCTTCGCGAACGCCGCGAGCAGCGCCACCGCGGACTCGGCCACGGTGACGTCACCGCGAGAGTAGTTCCTCGGCGCCGACTGCGTGCCGCCGACCAACGGCAGCCCGAGGAAGTACGGCAAGGTTTCACTACTAACACTCCCAAGTCGCTGATGGAAACAATGACTTTGTTAATTGAAGTTTATTATATCGTAACACATAAAAGCTAAGATTCTCTTAAGTATATTTACTGATATTAATAAACGGCTAGCGAAAATTAAGGGTTTTTATCGAAAATCTATTTATGACTTTAGAATTTTCTCCCGATCTACTGGATGAGAACTATCTAAATATTTTATCTCCCTCTATAATATTATGCGTTCTTTAACGGGATTTGCTGAAAGTGGTCTTAAATCTTCTGAACTCCGATATGATAGCATCCGAACATAAAATATTATGGCTCGAAGCTAACGCTGTACGCAAAAAGGTATAATAATATGAAAACCTCTATAAAAATCCAATGATCGTAACACGTAACGTCCTTCGATGCGATAATCACGACACTTAAGGACACTCGAGGACTGGAACAGTTCATACCTTCCATTATCTTGATTCGGTTCATTATTCAATGTCTCACTAACCTTGTTAACTTAACAATGCTGAAGTCGAAACTTAGTCTGCCCATGATGAAGAACAAGAGATTATAGATAATAATGGAGTGTACATCAAAATGCGTAACGGTTTTAATTACGCATGACAATTGCGAAAGCTAATGAATGATACGGGCGCGTAGGGGAATGTTTCGAATTATTATTACGTAGGTCTCGAAAGTTTTCACGGAATCATGCGGGGAATCGAGTGAATTTAATTTTGAATTTGGTATTCAAATAACACGATGAATACATTCCGTGTGCGAGACGCATTAGCCTCAGGGCAATGAATTCATTACTCTTCGGTTCAATTTCAGTGATTTTTTCGTACCATTATTTTCCTCTGGTTGTTAATTATTCGAAACTTATACGTGGAATTTAGAAGGATCCATTACGCATCCTCATCTATCGAACTGTCATAAGTAGTATCTTTTAGGTTACTGGTTGGCTAGCTTAAAGCAAGTAAAACCAATTTTCATATTGTGCTATAGTCTGGCACGTGGCAAATGAAACTGACCTGATTTGTTTTTTTTATTTAGTTATATAGATATTTTTACCATAAAAATCAATTTATAATACTTAGAATTCCACATTTTCAGTTATCATAAATCAAATAAATCCATTCTGTATAAACTACATCCGAAATTCCACACAAACGAATTCATTCCACTTAGTTTGGCTTCAAACAAAAGGGTTACGCTACGAGTATACCCTGATCTCTCACATTGTTTATTTACATACAAAATTAGTATAAACAGCGGAACGAGATTCGGTTTGTTTAAATTAATTTTGATGGGCGTAAAGTCGTGGAATAGATACCTTTCAGTCGAATATAAAACGCAAGTGTTTACCTGGGGATAATCAGCGTCTCTGCTCTGGTGTGCGAAGTGAGCGAAGAAAGTCCTGGCTCCTCTCCTCGCGTGCAGCTGCGCGACGCGCAGGGCGGGCGCGGCGACCGCTGCGTCGCTCAGGGACTCCAGGGTGGCGTCTCTGATGTTGATGGGGTGCTGGATCGGCTTCTCCCAGTCGGTGTACTCGTTGCGGATGGCCGCGAAGATCTCGTTGCGATGGTATCGGTACACGTTGCGGACATACGTGCGCAAAATCCGATTCCTGTGTTGGCGTACTTTTTATTCAATATATCTCTTATAAAAGCAATTTTATATGATTTTTGAGACCAAATGTTGCAACTTTCGGCATTTTCCACTGCGCTATTCCTCTTTAACCGACTTCAAAAAAGTTTTTGTTGTATGATTACTGTGGAAATTATGAATCAATTTCTATTATGAATATTTGCATCTTTATAGAGTGACACCTGTTCTGTGATATGATGCACATTTAGTATTTTTATAGTCCAAAAGTTGTTATTATCAAAACATGACGAGTTTATAATACCTGTGTTCCTCTTCGAAACCATGTCTGACATCGTCTTCGCTGAAAAACTGGTAACTTTCAGTGGTGGCGACCACAACAGCGAGCGAACAGTCTAGAAACGCCTCGCTGGCGTGCAGCGCCTTAGTAGGGGCTTGGCTCGCAGGGTCCCTCTGCAGGGGCACCGACGGTGCCCAACCCGCGAGGAACCGCGCTCTGGGAGGCTCCACCGCTAACAGCGCTGCGAGCGGCCTGGCTCGGATACATTCTAATAACCTGTGCACAAAGATGCGGCCTCACTACTATCTCATAAACATCGATTAGAGATTTATTGATAGGACAATTATAACTTAGTTTATTTATCTTTCTAATGTTGCAATTAATTTTAAATAATCTTAGACGTATAGTAGGTATAATATAAAAATAATGTGACAGTACTGACCAATGTTCACTGGTGGATGAGTCCGGCGCACAGCGCAGCGCCTGCGCGGTGTGCTCCCGCGCCAGCGCCGCGTCCGGGGCCAGCGCCGCGGGGCTCAGCGCTGACCCACTCAGTAACAGCACGCGCGACGCCAAACCTGACAGCACCGATGGGACATTCAAGTCAAACAAATCTAAAAATAACCCATTTCGCATTGGTTTTGTCATTACGTAAATTTTTAAATGAAATAACATTTTGTAAACGACCGGTCGGCGATAAGTCTTTATCGTCTTCTTATCAATATTCCCTACTATATATTTATTTAGCTATATCGGGCACGAGCTTTTCAAATGCATATGGAAATATAGACTGAAAAGCTAATATTTATCTCACACGCCCACTTGGGACCGGTTAGTACTTTACCTATATCGAAACTAACCTTTAGATTCGGGCATCATTAAAAGCGCATTGATGAGCGCAGCCCCGGCGCCGTGTCCGGCGAGCGTGACGCGGCGGGGGTCCCCCCCGAAGGCGGCCACGTTGGTCTGCACCCACGCCAGCGCCGCCGCCACGTCCAGCGCCGCGGCGCCGCCAGCGCGGTGCGCCGGGTCGGACCGCACACCCGTCGTTAAATAACCTACACCGACATGCAGCAAGTAAATATACCTTTCTTAGCTTTATCTTCAGATCGCAACCCTTGCGGAGTAGGCAGAGAGAACCGAGCGCCATAAAGTGCGATCCCTACAAACAGCTTTCGTCTTTTCGACGTACATTTCATGCATGCGCGTCGGTTTCGAGGGCTTCTGACATTACCATGCTTTTCGCAGCTTCAATCTTCACTTTATATCAATTTTGGCCGGAGTGTATTTCTATTAATTTTTGCTAGTTATACTGGTGTTTATTTTAAAGTGTGATTGCCGATTATTTTATTATTTCATGGCTTTTAATTTGTTCATACATCTTGTCACAAGTTTATTTGTGTGTATAAGGTCAATAAGCATCTATACTGGCCATATAAGCGAAAATACGCAATTATACCAATTCAAAATACAAAAAAGCTTACTATTTACGAACCATAGAAAGTTTCCAATATTTTTTTATAATTTTATTCAAAGCTATCAAATATCCTGAGGCGATTTAGTGTGCATTGCTGTACCAGGCGTGTTATATTGGATTCCTGCTCGTCGTGTTCCGCACATGAACGACGGAAATTATGTTTGTTATAAATTACACAATAGAAGATATCTTGGCTCGAGGAAACGCGATTTATTTTTATGTTAGTGCCTCAGTCGCATAGTTCGCTCGCTGGTGGGAATACTTGCCAAATTTAATACGTTTCTTGTTTTGAAACTGCATTAAATAATATTCGTATACGGTCCCAGTTCACCTCTATATTTGCTATAATAACAATATATTTGAAAAGTAACTTCATGTGCGTGTTGAAATTTATTTAATTATTTTTATCACGGTTATCAAAAGAACACTTTATTGTATTTATTTATGACAGTTGTTATGTCGTAAAAGTGAAATGGAACAATAAAATTTGTCTCCACGCCTTTCATAAATATCACCAGGTTTCCATTATTTATTTTTAAAGTTTCAGACCCTTGTCAGTACTTACTCGTTCCCGTCTAACAAATTATTAGTCTCATCCAGTTGTTGTGAATTGTCCGAACTGAACAACTAACTAACTAAACTTTAAATAAAACGAAAATCTCACAGTACCCACAAGAACCGCGTAATTAACGTCACTGTTTTAGGAATTATTGAACAACTCTTCTGAATAATTATAAATTTCTTCGCCACATAGTCAATACTTATATTAGTTGTTTAAAAAGACTGTCTTGTTAAATTTCCAAGTATATCAATATCATTATAGATACACTGAAATATTTTATATGAGTTTATTTAAAATTTATAGCAATCACTTAACAAAATGATTGGATCAACTTAAGTCTAAGCATTCTTTTATCAAGGATTGAGGGATAATAAACTTACTTAGCAAGTATATTTTTAAATCGGATTTAAAACTCGGTGAATTGCGCTAAAGAAAATTTATTGAGTGTCGTGTTAGGTTATTTAAATAATGTTGACAATGAAATATACAATGTTTTGTAGTCCTTTGGACTTTTACACAATATGTACAGAAGTTCTTAAAAAAAAATTACGATTAGATAAATACAATAGATATTTTAGTTTCTTCCAGTCCCACGCTCTGAGTGTGTCGCACGAGGCCAATTAGTGTCGCTGTCTCAGTTTTCATAATAATCAATGGCACGGAACCATCCGTGCGTGATTTGCAGTTGGCCGTTTTTTATCACAATTTTTTTGTGAAATTAATTATAATAAGTAATCATTATTATGTAAAAAACGTCAAGTAATAGAGTTATATACGAGTGTTTCATAGGAAAAAAAATAGATTTACATAGATTTCTCCTTAAACTTTGAATAAATCTATGTAAATCTTGCTTATTGATTGTGAATAATACTGTTTTATTATGATTATTATTTTTCATGTGTGATTCTTGATAGTTAATGAGTTGACTAGGATTTGTACTGTCGTACTGTAGACGCTACAATTTCGCAGCTTATCGTGTTCGTCTACATTTAGCTGCATTGAATGGCGGCATGTTTAAAACAGCCCCCTAATTGAATGGCTGATTTGACCAGTGGGCTGGGACATGTATATTTAGTATATTTCTGGGTTTTGTGTAGTGACTACAAGTGGTGTGTTACCTAATAATCCTAGCCTATAGTTGATAGTGAGTACGAGGAGGTGCGCGCGCGCCGCCAGCACCGCCCCGTCGAGCGTGTTGGCGGAGCCCCACTCGTGCGACCACCCGCCCGCCCACACCACCACCGCGTATGGCGCCTCCACGCCACGCGCACCTACACATCAGCATCGTCATCATACTAAACTAGGACGTTATGTTTCGGCTCCAACAGATGGCGCTAGTGTTTTAGTTTGATGTTTCTAAATCTCACCAATGAAAATGGCCATTGTAATATACTATTTTATTATTGCATTATCAGCTTCATCTATTTTAGTAATTAATTCTGTTGTTTGTCAATGCCTGTTATATTGCGCTAGAAAAAATATATAAACATTCCATTGATCATAATGGTTTTATCGTCATTCAAAATATCAAAAACACGCCGGTTTCAAGGTTTCACCGTGTCTATTGCGGGGTTCGATTCCCGGTCATTGAACCAATGTAGAAAACGGACTTTTCTATATTGTCTCGGGTCTGGGTGTTGTGGCTACCTTCGTTATCCCAGATACTCCATAATACGGGGACTTTACTCATTTTGGAATCTGACCAATGATGTTGAATATATATTTAATATTATATATGGGGAAAAATGATATTATACTCTACTCAATAACAATGCAGCAGAACTTAAGAGCAAATAAGTGTTCAGAGGACCACACCCTAACAATAACATTCAGAATACATCTCAAATAAAATATGAATAATCTTCATGCTGCTTATTACTGTACACATATTGCAAGATTGTCTGCCGCCTTAATACAGAGCATTATTAAATTCTATTCCCACAGTAGGCTTACTGAGATATCAAGCATCTGGCTTATTCTTCCGCTTTGAGTCCAGCATAGAAAAAAAAACTGTTTCCCTTTTATCACTATCAATTTGCTTTAGTCGGCTAACGGTTTTAACCAAATGCTTATTTTATTCACTTTTAAACTATCGCGCTGCATTATTACACACTTACACGTCGGCATAAACGTCGGCGCAGATCAGTGTAAAAATCGCGTCTAATACCCCTTATTATAAGTATGTAAAAATGCTTACTTTAGTGTTCGGTTTATTATAAGACTGTTCGTATATAACAATTACCAGATTCAGAATATAATATAACCATGCTTTGGATCAGATTTCTTACCGCTACCGGGGACGTAGATGTTGAGGTAGAGGCAGTCTTCGCTCTGATTGGCTAAGAAAGGGACTGTGGCCTTCAGCTCGTTGTAAACTCCGAGGGGCATCTTTGATAATGCAGCACTCCTAAACGGAAACGTAAATGATCACAAATAATATAGTTAACGATGTTTAATGTCATAGCCACCTCGTTCAATGTATTTGGAAACTTTTAGTTTAATTTGCCAGTTTATTCTAGCTGAAGTGTACAGCAACAAGTATTAACTAGAAAACTTTCACAGCTAGCGGACAAACAGCTCCAGTATTTCGTCACCAACTTTAAACTAAACTAGTTTTTACTATTACAGAGTAGTAAAAGCGGTTTAGATCATAACTTTCCATCTTTATATGAATAAACACGCCAGAGACTTATAATTAAAATACCTAATCCTTAAGATGGCTAATTTATCGGTACATGCAAAAGTCATGCGATGAAAGAGAAAACCAAGATCTTTTTAGTTACAAAAATTAATAGATTTTATCAAAAGGTGAAAGTCTAAAGCAACGGTTAATAGATTTGCTTATATTTAAGAAAACGGAAGCCAAAGTGGAAATTAATCAAGCATTAATACATTCGTGTTAAGCTCCCCGACAATTTAATCAAAGTTCAAAGATCACATTTATCTGCACACGATCCAATGAGGCTGCGTCCATAAGCTTTTAATTAAATCCGTAATATTGGTGACGTCGCTACATAGAAATGGGACCTACGGCTTTTGGATAACCCGAAATGAACATCTGTACAGGAAATCGGGAGAATAAATCTCATAATTGACTTGAACAGAGGATACGCTCGACCCATACGTTTAGAGTACTTTGATGTAAAAACCCTCCAGTCCCAACACAAAACAAATATAAGGCTCTCAACTGCTGGCCGCCTTAATACTTCTCGTAATTGGAAGTTTGTCAAAGCTTATTTAACTTACTACCTGCTGGCGTATAACATACGTTTATCTTACGAGGAAATGATTTAATGAAGTTTAGTAAGTTAACACCTCATGGGTGTAACATTGCACGTCCCTGTTCCTGATTCCACAATTTCATTTAGATTATATAATGTTGTAACATTCCTCCCTCGAGATATTATTAATCTTACGTACCTTTTGTTAGAATAATTTTCTAAGCCAAAATTTGCGATCTATTCTTGTAATCGTAAAAAGTTTGATATCACATAAAAGTAAAGGTCGAGTCAATGAAAATATGTCAATAGACTTAGCCTGTATTTTTGTTTCTTTAGTATAAAACCAACTTGTTGGATATGTCCGGATACTTCTGTGGGCAGACGGGCGCGAATGCGTCCGCGAGCCGTGTGCCAGGCCAACTGGGCGGCGGGGGCGGGGGCCCGAGGCGCGGAGGGTGTCCAGCATACGGCACCCCCCAGAACACCTCCACCGGCTCTAGGCGGCGTGACGCTGGCTCCACTATGATGCCGCGGATTGCTCCTGAACAAAAAGGTTTTTTTACATTTTAAATTTCGGATGAAAACGTGTGTACTACTAGCTTTTGCCCTCGAATTCGTCCGCGTGGTAAAGTTACTTTGGGCAGCATTCCTAAAAATGCTAAAACAACTATTTATTTATTCATTATATCGCGTAAAATATTTTTTTATGCGTCGGCGGAATGCTTTTAACAAAGTCCCTGCCGCCTGGCTAGCGAGATCACCTCTGTCACTGGAGTCCTACACATCGATACCTCTACGGTGTACTCTCTGAATGAGGGAATCCCTCAAACTTTAATTCCCTATTAAACCATTCTATCACATTAAAAAGCAACCCATGTCCTATCTCTAGTCTGTTAGGCGTGAGAGCGTAATGAACATATACACAGACCCACTATCGCATGTATAATGTTCGTATGAAATAATTGAGCGATTCTCTGTATCGCTCATTGAATTATATATGGAAAGATTTCTAGACAGTTACCTAAATAAGTAGACTAAGAACAATATAATCACAATTGCTTGGTCTACTTCTGAACTCACAGCTTTCTTTTGAATTTATATTGAGGAGATTTTATTGAAACTAATAATATCAACATTGAATTTAATACATTGATGTTTGATTTCGAAAACACTACAACAAGCTATTTTATTTATTTAAGATGCACTATCTACTAACCTATTAATGGGTCAATATTTTTCAGTACTTTGTCTCTGAAAACTTTAAAGCTTTATCTTTATCCAATCAAACAAAAAGTTAAAAATTTTATTTTTACTATAAATTATTGACTCAATTATTAAATTTTCATCACCATATAAGGAAATCTTTATAAATAATATAAGATAGATTTATTCATGATAAATCAAATAGTAAACAATGGTTGCTAAGGTAACAATTTGATTTCCTATAAAACATTCACTCGCATTTTCATCCCTTTGAGTGTTGGTCTTCGGGATAAAATCTAGTACCTACTTAGGTTCTTAAACTACTCAAATACAAATTTTCACCTATATAGGTCCAAAATAAAAACAGTTTCATATAAACATTTTCACCCTTTTTAACCTCCTTCGGGATGGAATTTCTAGAAATCCGTTAATAGTACGTCGACGTGATAAGACGAATGTCCCCCTCCAAATTTCAAGTTTCTACGACCAGCGGTTTAGGCTGTGCGTATCTCGTTTTATATATGTATAGATGACGACATCTTGTTTGAAACTTTAATTTTAAGCTAATGTTAAAATTAATGTTTTTCTTTTCTTAAAATTATTTTTATGTAAACAAGAAATTTTATATAAATTGAACGAATATAATTATATATAAGTTATATATAATGTAATATAACTATATTATGTTTGATCAATTTCGCATTCGCAATGCTAGACTGAAAAATGTTCTCAATGAAAATATTTATTATAATTTAATATTCATAAGACTCGCTCGATGAAATGAGCTCCGAATCTCAGTGTGTTACTCCGATTCTGAGGTGGAATCTAAACACGGATTTCATAAAAAGCGGCAAATCTAAATATGTATAGTAATATAAATATCTGACAAGGTAACGATCTCGGTTAACCGTAAACCCAAGTTATCCGCTGCATTAGAGCAAACTTACGATACACTTATATATAACTCCCGATGGAGACGCACCCAACTTAAATATTTTGTTATATGGATGCATAGACCAAAGTGTAATTTAGTCATCAAAGTATAAAGTTATTTCATTGTTTTTAAATTATATTGCATTTACACTTTTTTGCATATATTAGTAATTTAGCTGATGGGTTTCTATAATAGTTGTAATAGCATTCAGTTAACGAATATTGTACATATCTATTGTAAAACTGATCAAAGTATCAAATTTGCAATATTATGTAATATTTAAATTAATCTAGGACTGTGATTGAACAAGATACTGATATAGTATTATGTATGTGTATGAAAAATGCGTAACCACGAACCGGCAAACCATAATCCCGGACCTTTGTTGTGTGATGAGAGAACCCTCAGGTACATGACTTTAATACCGAGGTCGATCAAATCGGACCCGGAATGAATGTCTCCGCATTTTGTTGACCGAATACCCGGGTCGAATGTACCCGGGCACAGGCAACAGGGCAATCTAACCCGGATCAAATTAATTATTGTCGTGGTATATGCAGATGGTATTAGTTGATGTTGTTGTTATTTAATTACATTGTATTGGAATCAGGACTCGTCCGAGTTAATTGGGTATGTATGTCTCAGATTAGTCATCGATGATAATAGAAATATAAATATAAGTCGAGTAAAGATCCTTCAAAATATAAGTCCATTAGTAGAATTAATACAACTTTTGTGAATATACTATCTTTTTCCTACTATCTATTCAGAGAAGTAAGGAGTTCGTTTTGAATTTGTTATTCAATTTGATCGTTCTGGGTCAAATAAAACAGGGTTCAGTTTCGTTCCAGTTCAAAGTCCCTTCAAGCGGATTTACTAAACGTTAGTGTAGCTCTCCAACTTTGCCGACTGACTCAGGAAACTGCATAAAATTTTAGAATTTCTATATTTCGTTTCTCATACCTTTAGCCGATAAAGTCACACGCAGTCTTCTAAACTGCATAATAACCTGTAAGTTGTTTAAGAGTAAGTCTCGAGGCTTGGCACACCGCTGCCTCGTGACCTAATCTCGACTCGTTTCATGTATTTGCACGTAATTAATTTCCGAGACAAGCGCACCGGCGAGGCAGCGGGCGCGGGCGGCATTCACTCCGTTTCAATATGCGGAATAGTTGACGAATAATTAACTGTGTGATAAATTACTTTAATTAATAATGTAAACTTTTCACGCTTACTGCGTGCCGGTTGGTAATTACACGAATAAATATTTGTGAACTCATGCTCGTGCCAACATTATGTGACAATTTAAAGTGATTTTAAAATAGAACTTATATTAATTTTATTCCTCATCATATCCCTATTGCTGGGTCATAGGTCATTTTTAACTATAAATGCCCTCCGACGGTCACCACTGTTGCCCAATAATTTTTGCGTAATAGTGAAGACACGTATCCGTGATATGCTTGCAATGCTGCCTTAACGGATGCCACCTCCTGATAATAGAATTTATTATATTTATATTTCTGATAATAGAAGCGAAAACGAATTTATTAATTTTTGTGCATACATTATCTATGTGATGTTCCATATCCATAATCAAGAATGTAATTGTGTCAGTGATTTTAACTCTATCGTTGTTATAGTGAATATCTGTAATCATTTTTTTTTTTATTTAGGTGTATGAAAGTATATCGCTTTAGTTTTTAAGAGATTGATATTAAATTATTCTTATTCATCAAATTTATTATGTCAGAGAGTGTATTATTAATGAAATTTTGAAGTTCGTCAAAGTTTTTATTTTGAAATAATAATCAGCAATAATCTGCAAATAAAATACAAGTGTCATTAATAATGGCAGGTAGGCTATTTATATATAATACAAAAAGTAATGGGCCTAATATGCTACCTTGGGGTACTTCGTTTGATATTTGTCGGTACTTGGATTTAACAAATTGTTTTATGTTTGTTTCTAGTCGTGATATTTCTGTACATTGCTGTCAAATTGACAGGTAGCTTTTCAGACAGCTATTAGGGGTACTTTATTGTTAAGTTCTTCTGTTACCTTTTCCATTAAATTAAAACTAGCTAACGTTGTCGATTTCCCTTCTTGGAACCCAAATTGCTGCTTTAGGGAATACTTTCAGAGAATACACCGCTTGCGATTGACGTGTGAATAATGTGAGTTTATGAAGTTGTAATTTTTGCTGCGCATTACTTTGGTGTCATAACGGATAGGTAGTAGTAATAGGAGTTGGAAGAAAATAAAGGGCTCAAAGTTAAGGAAATAATAAAATAAAGATAATTAAATTATATACAAACCAAAATACGCTGCCAACTTTCATGACAGCCAGACCAAGACCAAAGAAAAAAGGAGAATAAAATGTCAAATAATCTTATAAAAATATCTCGCCGGCCTGTTGGCCAGTTCGTAACAGGTGCGTCGACATTTATATCATCTTACCCCGCTGATTTTGTATTTATTAATCCAAAAATAATATTTTGAGTTGCAATTTTTTTGCGCCGTGTTTATACATCTGTGTAGAATTTTTGTATACCTTCGGTATTAATGTCTTCTCTTTGTTATTTTTAAGAGTGTATATAATTGTGGTATTGTTTACGTTTATTTGTTATTATTTCGTCGCATATAAATTATAGGAAAACATTGGTCAAATATTGAATAGTCTCATGGAACAGAAAAAAACTTCATCTGTAGCAGTTTCATTTAGAACATTGATAAATGATATAGAATTAATGAGTCTTTTAAATTTGTCGTTATTTTCACCGACAAAATTTCGTTGTTTTTCATACCAATTTACATCGCATTTTTGTTTATTCTGGCGTCTGTTATAATCTAACAGCCATAGCTCGTATGTCCATCCTTCAGCTCCGAAAATATTGCTCGCAAATAAATCTAAACAAGAGTTTCGTCTAGGTGGTATGGTGATATACAAATTTTTGTATTTTTATCCTTTTGTAGAATATTACAGTTCTATTCAAGTCCTGAGCCCCTGCAGTGGGGACGTAAAAGGGCTGTTGATGATGATGATTCAACACAGATGCTAATTTTCCTCGGTTCTTTTACTTATTTTGTGCAAAAATTCGTTAAGTTTGTCAAAAAATTGATAACTGATTTCTATATATGCATATTATTACTAAATTCACCTTCTTTATAACAACACCAAAATATTCTTTTTTTTTCTGTTAAGGTAGCCGTTAAGAGTAACTTAGCAGAACCTATATTATTATCCAATAAGATAAGCGTACCTCATTTTTTCTCATAAATTCGTGACCACGACCGTGAATTAATAACTCACAGAAAACTTTTGTCCGATTTCAATAGCATTTTCTTGAATAGGTCAGTTTTTAAAGTTTGAGGTCGGTTCTTTGATTTTAAAACATTTTTATACATAATAGCATAACCGATATTAAAATTAAAACAAGTTAATAATTTGTACATAAAAGCATTATCTCTTTATTTAACCATGAAAAAGCAATCCGCTGACGATCTGGTAATAATAAACCTAATTACTCAAATAGTAAACCCAAGTCACGATGTCTTACCGATGTTGGATAATAGATCTCACCCGGCTAATGCCGGATGAGGTCAGTGTAATTAATACCTATATTTTCACTCTTTGGCATAATAGCGGATCGTGATTACAACACATTGTAAAGCTAATCCAAACACGAGGGATAAAGCTTCATTGACATTTACTTAACACAGTGTACTACTGTACTGTACATGGGTAACATGTACGCTTCACTTTTATTAAGATAAAAGTCTTTTTGTATGCGATAGGAACAGATTTTAAATGACGTAATTAATTTTGTAACAGTTAATAATGCCTATGTATATTGAATTTGATATTTATGTGCCCTGTTCAGATGCTACAGAAGTGTATGAACGTCAGTCCGAATGTGTACACAGAGGCCCCGCGCCCACCAGACAGCGCTCACATAGCGCTCGCAAATTTATTAGACAACTCATGAAAGTTTCGCGCGCGAGCGTGACCTCATATCAGGCTGATAAAAGATACTAGTTTAGAATCTGAATAAAGTATGCGATATAATCTAAAAAATCGGTGAAACAAGTTAGCGCATTCCATCTAGGATTGCGGAAGCTAAGTTGCTTTTGTAATGGCTGGTTATGAGATGGGTGGCCAAAATTTATTATCTCAAACTTCTTCGTGTTTCGTTTAAGTCACTAGCGTTTAGTCAGCTCCCTCAATCCTAGGTTTATAGTTTCGTCCCTGAATTACAGAAGTACATATTTATTTCCATGGGGAAAGCATGTCTCCCAGCAGTGGGAATAAGAATAGGTTGATGTATTGGTATTGAGGTGTGTGGTGAATAAATGTGTAGATGTGGTGGTGTGTAATCGTGGTAGTGCGTAGGTGTGGTGGTGTAGTAGTGTACTGGTGTAGTGTTGTGTTAGTTATAGGTGTGGTTGTGTGATGGTGCGGTGGTGTGGTGGCGTGGGGTGTGGTGGTGGTACCGACCGGCGTGCGTGTGCACGATGCGTGAGCTGTACCGCGGGCCGGCCGCCGCCAGCGCCGCCAGCACCAGCGCCGCGCACCACGCCGTCCGCGCGCACTCCATGCGCCATCACGCGACCTGCCTCTGGCAACAACAACAAAGAACAAGTTTAGTCAATTAAATTATCATCTCTATATTTATAATTTCTAGTGAGGAATCAAAAACAGGAAATTAGGCGATCATAATAAATAAATAAAAGGTTAGCCATCTCTAAAGTCCCGGGTTCGATTCCCGGTCGGGTCAAAGTAGAAAATGAAATTTTCTATATTGTCTTGCATCTGAGTGTCATGATACCTCCGTTGTTTCAGATACTCTATAATAGGGAGGCGATCTATTTCTTCATAATATATGTTTCAATACTTCTAGTGAATCACACAATACACTATACTCCGATAATAAAACGATGTTCGTTCTACTACATGGCATTATGTGTTCGAAAATAATATATACGTTATAATTAAAAATCTGTTTTAGTAAACTTTAGGTGTGATTCTACACTAGGATATTCATCAAACGTTTCATGATTATCACAGCCAAGCAAATCTACTTTATCTTAGACAAATAATGAAATGAACCAACCACAATATACATAGGTATGTAAGTATCTAGTTAACCTAGCGTGGCTTTGTTGTAATTTTGTTAAAGCTTGAATAATATAAAATAATAATACTAACTCATTTAATATATAAGATTTTGCTTCGACCACAAAAGTAATTGCTATTATCTACATTTATAATTGGAAGCCAAACCAATTGAGGTATCAAGAAAAGCTTTTCAATTCTATGACGTGACCTACTATCTTGGCTACAAGGCTACATCTAAAAGATCATCACACTTAATTATACAAAATAGAATAATGTGAACACTGAGGCATAACATTATCACTTCGTCCATTAACGCGCACGACGACAAAATCGAATTCCAAATGACAAAAATTACATTACACTCATGTCTCTAGCGGGAAGGTTATCACTGGCAAAGTATCTCCAGTCTCCGAAGACATTATAATAAAAGTGCCTAACGAAATTAATATAGAGGAAATCTCGTTCGACATTACACTCGCTATTTTCTCTAACAAACTTTTGTAATTAACTCACAATCTTCTAAACAATACCGTCGTCATGAAAGATTTCAATCAGTGTATGTCTTAAGTTCTCATGTTAAAATAACATTAGATAAAGTCGGTATGCGTTGGGTTTTATCGTACTTTTGTTGCCAGCTTCAAAATAATGTTTAATACAATAGAAATTAATATAAAAAAAATAATGTCCTATTAAGTTATTAAAATAATGCCTTTGTGTGTGTATAACGCTATAAAAAACGAAACTTTTAAATTAACATGAAAGCAAAACGGTCATTTACAATGTATATTTCGACACTCTCAAGGGAATCAATATTGTTAGGTATTGAATACTCCCTGCTGACCTAGAGCTATGTTTAGCAAGTAGCATCGTTTTATAGTAAAAGTTCAAATAAAATTTTTGAAACTATACATTTATTATTAAATCATTAAAAATATAGATGATATTTAAATTGAAGCTACTAATAGGCTAGTTGCCAACTTTTTTTTTATTTCATAAATAAATAGTCCATTAACATCTGAGAAATAATGTCGAAGTAACAGCATGTCTGCGGTTAATAGTTTCGGAGATACGGTGCTGTGTTTGTAGAACTGCTGCTAGTTGGCCGAAAACGCTCCCTACAAATTCAAGGCACTAAGTGACGTCACATGGTGGTACTGTAGCGAAAAATGTATGGGCGTCTGGACAATTTTTGTAATATTTTTGTTATTTGTGCGTTTATGTTTATAGCTATTATAATGAAAATTGTAGTATTTTTTATATCTAATTTAATGCCTAATGTATTTTAGCAAATTTTTGTAGTAGATTTTTTCTACTTTTTGCAAGTTTTCAAAGCGTAATAATTTCCAAATCAGTGACTTAAAATTTGTTTTGTTAAACATTTATAAGTTAAAATGGTTCATATTTTTCGAAGATATAACAAAAACCTGTATTTTCACTTGTAGGACACAAGCCTATTCTACTAATGTGTCATATAAAAGGACCTCATGTGTAGTATTATAAAACCTGTTACTTATTTTTACTGAGAAATACAGAAAAACAATTGATGCAGAACCATCAAGGCGCGAGTTTAACTCGGTCTGTACCGGTTTTTTATAATACTACATGTACAGATTACGTAACCCATAAACATTAAATCTTTAAAAAGTAACGAACGATAGCGATTGTAAGGAAGATAAATGACTCGAGAGGATCTTACAAGACAAGCCAATTGATTGAACACAATCAATTCCTCAAATCCACAAGGACAAGGATAGGGATTTTATTTTTTTATCTGAAACGATGCAACGTCTTTGTTCGTTTTTATTTTACAGAAAACGTTTTTTATTGTTTGCAGACGAACGGCCTTTTTATTGTTATGACGATTGTAGTATTTGCAACGTTGTTGTTTGTGTGTCAATCCGCCGCGACACGCATGATTATTTATACTTTGATTTAAATATTACTAAGAATTGCATAAGAAACAATTAATAAAAAAATATATAATAACATTTTAATGAGGATTATACAAATAAGTATATTGGGAGACGGAAAATCAAAGGCTTCAAATTATGAGAGCAAAGCCAGCAGTGACCGCTGCGATACCACAATTCATCCATGTTTCAGTTACGATCAACACTCTAAACAATTAATTGAGTTATACACCTAAATTGCAATAAATATGTATATTATGAAATAAAATGTAATATAAAGTTAGACATTTCCAATGCATTTGAATTTGAAAGTACTTATTTAATTACTCATTAAGCAACTCCTTTGTTTCGGTTACAAACTGAATAAGAGATGAATATTTAATAGTTTATGGACTTAAGGGATACAAGTCATTTGCATAATGTTTTATTTTAATTTCAAAACAAAATTTACTAACTTACTGTGAAATAAAAACAAAAAAACCGTCTGGAAAATTAAAATGACAAAGAATATAAAAAAGTCTACAACAACAATCCAGTCCCAATTTAATCGATAGGAGAATTTAAATTTTATAAAAGTATGTTTTATTTTACCAAAGTTTTCCACCTTCTAATTACCTTTTAATTTAATTGAAAGGCGTAGCTTAACTAGAAATCACTTAATATTAAGAATAGTATAAGCAGATTTGTCGTTTCACCAAACCTGTAACGTTAGGTATTACCTATACACTAAGTTCCTATACACTAAGTACTTGCTTAAATAGTCAACGTTTATCTATGAATTTTCATGGTTCAGTTCCTTTTCTTTTTTTTTATGTATGGCACATTTGCGTTTACACAATTCCACCAATGTCGTGTTAGTGGCCTTTATACGTACAGAGACAAGAAATAAAATATTTTGGGGTAATAACAAGATAAAATATACGTGATCTTGTATTTAAACTAGCACCGGAGTCGTCATTGCCCATTTTATATTTATTAAGTCCGAAAATTATAAAAATCTAGTTATTTATATCTTAATTCTATTATATAAACTCCTTGATGACAACTTACTAAATTGATTTTATAAATG